GGGCCCATCTTTTTTGGATGTTGGTATTCTCCATCCTCACACAAGCATTTTTACAGCTGAAGCTTACGCAATACTGGCGGCAGCAAAACACATTAAAGAATCAGAAGTAATGCAGTCATATACACGGATTCATTAAGCGTTGTAAAAACTTTAAAAGCCATCAGAAAGTACAAAAGTCCTGTCATTGTTTCACTATACTCTCTCCTTTGTGCTATTTACGCATCGAAACAGCATGTAGTAGTATGTTGGGCGCCAGGACACCGTGAAATTGAAGGAAACGTACGAGCGGATAAGCTCGCAACATCAGTCTATGCGAACACTCCGTAGTCATCTGTAGCTGTCCCCGTAATGGACTTAAAACTTTTTTGAGAAAAAAGCTGAGCGATTACTGGCAGCATACATGGGACGGACAAGTATATAATAAATTACATTTAATCAAGCCTTACCTTGGTGACTGGCCACCAACATCACAAACACGCCGTACAGAAGTAGCACTCTGTCGGCTATGTATCGGACACACATATAGTGCACACACACCTTCTGACTGGTGGTGATCCACCAATGTGTGAGAAATGTGGGGAACCTCTTAGTGTCCTACATATTTTGATACAGTGCAGTAAATTAGATCCTATTCGAAAAAAGCATTTTCCAACATCCTACCAAGAACAAATGCCTCTTCACCCAGCGATGTTCATCGGTAGAGATACACTTTTCAAACATCATTCATTATTCGCATTTTTAAAAGATGTTCGCAACTTCCACGTGATCTACCCTGGTAATCTGTAGAACAACCTATCACAAAAGGTTGTTGCTGCTGTACATACATTACAAAGCTCATGTTTCGCGGCCCTTAGAGACAAGGGCGCCGGAGAGACATTCGTGCTCTATAATCTCTTCATAGCTTTATCATCAGAACCATTGACCACTATTTTCACTCTACAACTTTCATGTCACTCTCATAATTTTATTCCCTATATGTTTACCCGCCTTTAGAGTGAGGAATATTAGGCCCTTTTACAGCCATTCATCATACCCATAGCCCAAATCTTTCGTCGCATGTGCTGGCGCTCTTTGGCCATAACGTGTTCCTTGCGCCAAGAAAGACTATATATCATAATCATTGGCACTGTCCTTGTACAAGGACATAGCGGCGTTGACCATGTAATAGCTTACGCCAGTCATACTCTTTCTCGAGTCGAGACCAACTATTCTACATCAGAAAAAGAATGCCTTGCAGTCATGTGTGCGACAACCAAATTTCGGCCTTACCTCTACGGTCGTTCCTTCAAAGGGGTGACTGACCACCACTCGCTCTGCTGGCTAGCCAATCTCAGAAATCCATCTGGCTGTCTTGCTCGGTGGAGTTTGCGTTTGCAGGAGCTCGACATTACGATTGTGTACAGGTCAGGGCGCAAACACGAGGATGTATGCTGACGCGCTCACTTGAGCGCCTGTGGGACATGTCATTATGGGCTCCGAGAATGAAGATGGCTTTCTTGAAGTAGTTAGCGATTTCGAATTCATGTCAAGACAGCGGGCAGACGAAGAATTATGCTCAGTTATTGATTCCCTGGAAGGCCGAATCTCTCAGGTCCCTCAGCACATCGCTCGCGAGCTGTCCTCTTTTTGTCTAAGAAGAGGCATTCTTTAAAAGAAAAACGCTCATGGTAGCGACAAAGCCTTCCTACTCGTTGTTCCTACAGACATGCGTCATGACATCCTTCTTGCGTGCCAGGACGAACCCACGTCAGGACATTTGGGCTATTCGCGAACTCTCGCCAGAGTATGCCAACAGTATTACTGGCCGCGACTATCAACTAGTGTACATCGCTATGTGAAAGGCTGCCGCGAGTGCCAGCACAGCAAGACTCCTGCCTGTGAGACTCGTGGGTCTGCTCCAGCCGATTGAATCATCGTGGACACCATTTGACATCGTGGGAATAAACCTTCTCTGACTCTTCCCTTTGTCATTATGCGGGAACTAATGGATTATAGTTACGACAGATTATCTTACTCGTTATACTGAAACAAAAGCGTTACCCCGTGTTATAGTTACGACAGATTATCTTACTCGTTATACTGAAACAAAAGCGTTACCCCGTGGCACGGCCTCAGAAGTCGCGAAGTTTTTCGTGCACCAAATCGTCCTACGGCAAGGTGCCCCTTCATGCGTGATTACGGACAGAGAGACGTCGTTTACAGCGCAAATGATGGAGGACATTTTTATATTGAGCTGCACATGTCAGCGAAAAACGACGGCTTATCACCGGCAATCCAATGGACTGACAGAGAGGCTTAAGAAGACCATAGCAGACAGGCTGTCAATGTACGTACAAAAAACCTAGGACAAGATTCTTTCATACATCACATTTGCGTACAATACGGCAACGCAAGAAACAACGCAATTTCCGCCTTGTTTACGGACTCAACGTGCGAACCATGCTCGATGCTATGCTTCTGTGCGACCAAAGCGACGAACTTGCTCCAGGCGCTGAGCAATACACTCATTACGCTGAAGAAGCTCGTCAGCTAGCTCGCATAAACACCAGTCACCAACAAGATACAGATGCATGGTGTTACAACCTCCATCATGGAAACATCACCTACAACCCTGGGGACCGAGTGTGGGTGTAGATCCCTGTCCGGCGATCAGGCTTATCCGAAAAACTCCTAAGCCATTATTTTGGATCGTACAAGGTTCTTAGGCGTGTGACAGACCTTACCTACGAGGTATTTCCGGGCGGTGCAGTGTCTTCTCGTCGACAGCTTTGGCCCGAAACGATGCATTGCGCTCACCTGAAGCCCTACTTCACACAGTAGCCGTTGTTGTTTCATGTGTTACAACAGGCCATGACTTTGCGTTGCTACTGCTGTTTGCGTTCTTCTGTGTTTTTGTTACTTTTTTTTGCACTTGGCGCAAGTGTTGGCGAAACTTTTTTATTTGTGCTGCTAGTACTGGCGCTCTCCCTCTTTTGGTTCTTTAGATCTGCATGTGTATGCCTTCTTTTTTTTTCTTTCTTTACGAGCATCGAGTCGATGCTTTCAAATTGGGGGACTATTGCCACATGGTCTGCTCGGGTGAGATCCACGAGAAAAAGAGGACAAAGATGATCTATTTAAGTTGCTGCTTGGCTAGTCAACTCAACGAGCCTATTAAATCAAGTTTGTTGTCAGAAACGTCACAATACCATATAGCTGCTTCCCATTCTCATTAACTTCGAGCTCTTCATTACTAATGATTTGGTTTAGACGTTTATTAAGTGTCTGCCAAACTAAATCACTCTTGCAATGCTTATCACTAAACAGTTTTTCTATGTATGCCTTTTTTGTATCTCGAAGAAACTTAGTTACAAAATTACAGTATATTTTTAAAAGCAGAAAGATTATCTGGGCTTCTCGAGTGCACAAAGTGGCTGTATAATTGGTTTTTCTTACGAATTAGCTTTAAACACTCATTTATTAACCAAGGCTTGCCTACCTTTCTTGATGTCTTTACTATTTTTACAACTAGTGTAGATGTTTTGTATCATGCACATTAGTGTATCGTAAGCTGTGTTAGCATCGCTACAGTTAAATATGGGTGCCCAGTCAACGTTTTCAAGCTGATTTCGAAAATCATTCATTGATCTTAGGTTTATCACCTGGATCATGAAATATTTACATTCGCATCGTCTTGCTGTGTGTTGTTTTGTTTAGAAAACTTGTAAATCGGCATATGATTGCCTAAATCGGCAGCAATGGCACCAGCGCTGATACTTTTTGTACTGCGAAATTCGTAATAAATAAGTCAATAAGAGATTCAGTAAGGCATTGGACAGGAGTGGGTGCTATTAATACATTCGCACAACCATAAGAGTCAAGGAGTAATTTAAAAGCCTGTGTGATTGAATTCAATTGGATCAGATTTATATTGCAATCGCCACCTATGTTTATGCTCTATCTATTTTGATATGCATAACATAGTAGCTGCCCTAAGAAAGGGAAAAAACTTTCACTATTACCATCAGGTGGTCGATACAAAACAGCGAAAACGTTGTATCCACATTGTTTTGTTAGCCCTTCATAGTCTGGTGTGGTTTTGGAAAGACTTGCAATTAAGTTACATGAAAGCCTTTCTGACATCATCTTTATGACTCCTCCGCCACGACTGTTCGGTCTACTTCAAACGAAGTTTCGATAAGCTGGCAAATAAATAACATCATCTTCTGAACAGTACCATGACTCAGGTATCATTATAATATCAAACTGAAAGATAAAGTCTGTAAGAAATGCTTCTATCTAGTCGTGTTTATTACGGGCAGACTGAGCATTGAAATGCAGAAAAGTAAGCGAATCGGCGTAGCCAGGACGACCGAAGTTACGCGGTGTGATCATCGTCAAATACAGGATAAGAGGTGCTTTCGGTAATAATCACTAGTATATTTTAGATGAATCTGCTTCACATGTAATCTTAACAACGCCAGGCTCTTGAGTTTTTCGGGTGAACACTTTCCCATCCCTCATCCTTACAAATTGACATTTCATTTCTTTATTTTTAGCAACTCTCATACCAAGTAGTTGCTTTAGTTGAGGGCATAAGTGTTCATTCACAAAAACTGACTGCTCGGAAGAAAAATGAATGCCTTCCACCGTAAATCTTCTCCTTCGTGCTTTTTGAATTATAGCATCGCGTTTCGAGCAACGGTTGAAGGACATGACAACGTTCCTATCAGTATCGGAGTTCTTTACGGAGGCACGATGGCAAGCATCGATATTCTGTTCTGTTATTGGCACGCCAAGCACTTCACCTACTTTTTCCAGAATATATTTTCCAGTGCCAGTCCAGTCTTCTTCATCTTTCCGTGTTTTGTTTACTCTAAAGATTATCATTTCTTTAAGAATGAAGTTTAACGATGATCCTCTTTTCTCATGCAGCAAAGAAATTAATTGGCTCCATGCTGTGTGATGTCAAGTCTGTACAGCGATTCCCAACTTCAGCTTCCATTTCGTTTCTGATGCAGGTAAAGACCTTGGCAGGGGAGCAGTACATTTCTGCGGTCTATGCTGAAAAGGCATACCTGTACTCGACAGAGGGCATCATTGACATCAGGACCCTCCATTGCCAAGATGCAATGCTTTCATCGCAGTCTGGTGCCATAATTTTGGGTGTGTGTACTTTTCTTGTTTTATGAAGTTTGAAGTGACGCATAGGCTGACCGCACGGTGTGGCCAAAAGCATCATAAGAGGTTAAACTAACAGGTCTGAATGATGTGTTGTTTACTGTACCAAAGAACACCAAGTCCATCAGACATGTGCTGTAGTATTAGAAGACAGTTTTAGAGACCAAGAAACATTTAAAGGTTAATCCATTTATTGATGTAAGGCCGACTGCATAAGAAAATGAGATTGCTTACAGAAGATTGTATTTTGTCGATCCTGCATGCTCTTTCTTTTTGTTCTTTTCTCTTCCACTGTGGTAGCAGAATTTGTAATGCTTTCTTATTTCTTTCTTTTCTTGCTTGACGATTGCATGGATTTTCACATGAAATATTAGAGTTGTAGCAGCGAAGGCACGGGAAAAATGCAGCTGTGATCGAAAGCAAGAACCAACTCAAAGCTGCTTTATTATTCCTCAGCTCTAGTGCTCCCCTGCTTGCCACTTCATTGTCAGGCCATCATAGAGCCCACCATGGAATAGACTTACTTCACCAAAACAAAAAAAAGAATCTAGGAGTGGTTGGAGAGCAGCAGTAGACAATGCAGTCCAGACCGTCAGTGTGCGGCCACCGGTATCATCAAGGGGAATTACTGGCTGGTGGCTGTGAGCACAGTGCACTGATGTGCGATGGGATGTTCGCAAGCATTCAGAAACACAAGCATTGTGGCAGAGCATGACAGTGTTGCTATGCTGTTACAGGACATGACAGTGTCAAGATAAGCTGGTAAGCTGTTGCGGAAAAGCAGCTGATGCATACTGGATGTACGATGTTCATGTGTGGTCTGAAGTTGTTCCTGGCTGTGCTCAGAAAGACGACAAAGAGAGAAGAAGACGAGTGTTAACTTCCAACTGAGTTTATTGTACAGAGCACGAAAATATATGAAGGAGACAGTAAACCATGTGACAAAAAAAGCAATGTAACAGTAAGATAAAAACAAAAGCCAAGAAAGAACTCCAAGGAAACGATACAGAAAACTAAAAGAACTATAACTATTTGCACCCGCTGATACTTTCGAGGAACCTTAATTCCTTCTCGGACAGAGACAAAGAAGGCTTCCTAATAAATGACATCTGTTCAGGTGCCATCTGTGCGGCCTTGACAATGACTCGGGAGCGATCGTCCCTGTGCTTATACAGCATTATTGTGTCCTCGAAAAAGGGCACACAGTTGCACGCAGTGCAGTGATGTGCAAGAAAACCATCTTTCCCATTTCCGACATTGTAAAGATGCTCCCTCAGTCGATTGTTCAGACACCTTCCGGTTGTTCTGAGATAACAAGTACCACTGGAAAAGGGGGTCCTATAGACAACTCCCCAGGAGCATTGCACATACCTGGTCCTATGCTTTACTTTACATTCAGCCAATGACTGCTTCTTCAGCGGGTTTGTCAATTTATTAAGACTGATTAATTTGAATGGTGCAGAGAACAGCACACGGACACTTGCACGTTTACCAGTTTTTTTATCCTGTGGGATATCTGGTGTTTGTACGTATGACAGCTGTCCTTTTATGCTCTATGTCCGTGTTGCTCGGATCTTAAGGCAAAGAAGAAACAAAGACAGCATCTGAGCAATACGAACGCAGAGCGTGAAAGGATAGCTGTTGTTCTATAGAAGCACCAGATATCTCACACGCTTAAAAAATAGGAAAACGTGCAGGTGATTGTGTGCTTTTCTCTGCACCGTTCAAATTCACCAGTCTTACTAAATAGAAAACCCCCTGAAGAAGCAGTCATCAACCTGCCAGCACCATGATATCATTAGGAGGCACGCCGTGGTGTGAGACTCGAGATTAGTTCCGGCCCCTTCAGGTTTTTTTAACGTGCATCTAAACCTATTTGAAGTGTCAGCTAAGCACTACAATGGACTGAGGGTGCGCACACGCACCGAGCGCCTCTTCTGTTTACATCGAGCGTCATCCCATCGCACGCTTCCCATATGCAATACCTCATTATTGTACCTAAATCTAAGCACATGTTAGTACGTTGAGCTTCCATAGAAATTTAGCTGGCGTATGTGGGAATTGAGTTCACGACTTTGATCCTAACATCGCAATAGCTCTGCCTGCTGGCTTATCAGGGGGTGTTGCCTTAAAAGACCTGTACGTATAAATGCTCAGCGCAAATATGCAGCATAAATCTGTTGACACTGAGCGATGATGAGCAGTCTACAGCCATCAGCGGAATAAAACACTTGCAGGGCTCATAGTACGGTATTTTAACAGTGGTGTATTAAGCTAGCAAGCTCAGCTGCTTTCGCATTACAAATGGTTGTCTCCGAAATCCGGTGCCCAATCTCGAAATGTACAGTGGTTATCTATTTGCTGTAGCTTCAGTTTACGAACGCACTTTCTTTTCATATGAGTGCGGTTATCACGTTTGTCCTCGTTAACAGTTGGTAATAGGGTGCATGACCGAAAATTCTACAAAGGAACGAGACCGCAGAATTATTGAGGAACTGCCATAATCCACTCTTGCGTCTTTCCTCTTCCCACTGCTTGCATTGAAAATGGTAAAACTTCACGGGCAGTTTTCAGGTCTGAGACATTATTGAAGTTTTTTAGCAGCTCCTAATGCAGCAGAAGTATGTGCCTGCTTTCCTGGATGACAAAGCTGTGGCACGTATAGAGTGCAAATGCGAGATAAAATCCCCAAGCAACACCTTTTTCATGTGTACAGTGAAAAAAACCAAGCGAGTGCGGCCTACCTGAGCGACCGGAGCTTTGCGCTCTCTCCGCTATAGTGCCGAACGGCACTGCACAAACTCGGGCCTGTCTTCCCTATAGCTGTAGTGCTTTTTTGCTAGAAGAGTGGCAGCTTAAGCTACACAGAAACCTCATTAGCCACTTTGCCATGCAAGAAACTTCGCTATGTGTGAAAATTTTTATAAGTGTATATTCAAAGGCATAAGTATATTACTAAGGCTCATTTACTTCATTATAATTGATAATATGTTATATTAGTATTCAATATATTCAGGTTTGTGGTTGGTAGGTCATGCCGAGAGCCCTAAGTAGGCATGAGGGTAAGTTTTCATTAGGCAGATAGAAGATGGTAATGCTACTTTACTTGAATATCCATCGGCAAGTGGATGGCAGCATAGGAAATGCCAGGTGTCATTGAAGGCTGTTAGCATAAGGTAACAGTCATTCGCACCAGCGCGTTGCCTACACAGCATTGTCCTGGGCGTTGTTAAGATTGGCATTGGATCCAAGCCGAAAGGGGTGTTCAGGGTTCTACGAACAAGTTGCCGGAAGGAAGCGGGCTTGCTGACAGCCGTCCGAATATGGGTATTGTTCTCCCAGCCAGGAAGCGAGGCGCATACAGTCGCGATGCCGCAGAGTGTACAACGAGACGAGTGAAATGATTTCGATCGAGACAGCATCTTTCAAGAGATGGTGGTGACAGCATGAATTACCGTAAACCCCGCAAAATGAGAGTGACAAGCGCAGTTCTTTTGATACTCCTGATGGTGCGGGGATAGTACAAGCATGGGACGCAGCACGAAGTGGCATTCTCACCCCAAAGAAGAGACAACTTGGTGCCGGAGGGAGAGCGTGGGGGCCACGTTCTTCTCAAAAGCGTTGACAAGGGCGGATGTGGACGGTACCGTCAAAAGTGATGTGTGTGGGGTTGCTGGACAGAGAAGTTTAAAGCTGTTCCCCATCTCAGGGTTAGGGGGAAAACGACTCTTGATAACCAGTCGCAGTGTGCTCCTGAAGAAGCCTTCGAAAGTGTTATGTTGCTGCCATCAGCCTAAGCAGTTTCACATAGCACCACAGGATGGCGCTTTTTATGGCTCCTATAATCATTGAAATAAACGTGCTGCTGAGCCTCGACTGAGCCTCGTCTGTGTGCTGCCTCGGGAGAACATCACAACTGGCGAGAGATAAAATCTGCAAGTTGGGCGCGGCAGAAAACACCTGTGCCGGGAATCAACAAGAATGTCGTCCGTGGGCAGACTGGAAGCGTTCGACACAAGCACAAGTGATGAGTGGCCCTAATATTATGAGCGTGTTTTGCTTTACATCGTGGCTAATGATGTGGTTGAGGAAAAAAATAAGGTGGTATTCCTGAGAAGCCGCGGAAGCAGCAACGTAATCGTTGCTATGAAATCTGCTGTCGTCTACAAAACGATTGATGCGACATTTGTAGCTATCTTCGCAGCCCTTGGTGCACACTTCAAGCCCAAAGCTTCCGAAGTGGTCGCAAGTTTCAAGTTTTTTTCTGGAAAAAGGCACAAAGGCGAGGGCCGTCAATGACTACATCTAGTACAACTACAAGCTAGTAGACGACTGCAACTTTGGCACAGTGTGCGAGCGAATGATGTGTGACCAGATTGTCTGCAGAATCAACGATGCTGAAATGCAGACTCGCCTTTTGGAAAGTGTAGATTTAAACCTGAAACGACGAAAAATCTTGTCATATTGATAGAAACCACAAGAAGAGACTCGCACATGCTTGGCACCCCGTCCATTTCTGTAGATATGGTACAGTCGGCAAACTTCGTAGAGCAGCCAACAAGGAAGATGGCGGAGGTAATGTGCGCCCAGCGCAGTGGCAGACACCAGACGACGCGCTGCTGACACGGCAGAGCTACCTGCTTCAAGTGCGGTCAAAAAGGCCACCTCGCAAGGGTTTGCAAGATGGCTGCGAATAACGGAAGGAATGGGACGTGCACGACATGAACGACCATCCCGAAACAGATCCGGGACTAGGTGAGGAATACACATTGTGGTCTTATCGTGCCACCACACCGGAACCCATGAAAATTGAAGCTAGTGTCAATAACCTGCTGCTAGTGATGGAACTTGACACCAGTGCCAGTGTTTCGATAATAAGCAAAGCTAAATTTAACGCTCTGTTTTCATGGGAGCTGTTGGAGCATACTGACTTGTGGCTCAAAAGCTATTTTGGAGAGCTGTCGTCAGTATTGGGGAAAATGTCA